TTCGGCGTGGCCCGGGGCTGGATGAGCGAGGAGCTGAAATGGTCCAGGCTGCCCGTGGCCTCCAGGGAGGCCTGCGAGGCCTGGCTCCGGGATAGGCAGCGCCCCGAGCTCTTTTCCCGCAACATGTTCTGCGTGGGGGAGGAGCTGCGGGGGAGCGGAGTCTGCCAGGGGGACAGCGGCAGCGTCTACGTGGTGTGGGACGGTGGTGCCAGCCGCTGGGTGGCCACGGGCATCGTGTCCTGGGGCGTCGGGTGCGGCAAGGGGTACGGCTTCTACACCAAAGTGCTCAACTACATGGACTGGATCAAGGGCGTGATGGGTGGCAGGGGCTGAGCGTGGACAGGAGGGCAGGACCAACCAGAGCGGCAACACAGGGTCAAGAGAGCTGGGAGTGAAGAGCAAGCCCCTCCAGCCGCTGCTGCAGCCAGGCACCTGCTTGGGAAACCCTCCTGCCTCGGCCTACACATTTCCAGCGGAATTGTATCAGTGGCCCTGTCCCTTCTCTGCCTTCCAGCAAGTTTGCATCAGGGAAGCCCCGCTCCGCTAGGCAACTGTCACCTGCCGGTCTCTTCCGTGCTGTGGAAGAGGCGCCTTCTCACCCCCTTTCCCGTGGTGTGTGGAGGAAGAGTCTTCGTGGCATTTTGTGTCTAAAGGCCGGTCACCCCCACGACTCCCGGATGCAGTGGTAGTCGTAGCTCCTTCTTCGTTTTACGCCTTTATATGCAGGTTCTTCTCGCGTTGTTCCACTTCCTCCTCTAGCGTGTGTGCAGAGCGCGGGTTTGAGCCTCGTCCTACAGACACAGACGGACGCTGCAGCCCGGGAGACGCGACGGTGGTGACAGCGGCTGCAGAGCCTGTTTTCCCCAGATCCCTGACGCCTCTGCGGCGGTCTGCGAGTCTGAGCTGCCCTGTCCATCCCTGTGTCCTTGCAGATTCTCTCCCTGGATGCCCTGCTCCTGTGAAGGGTGCTGCCTGCTCTCCTGGCCCTGCAGACACCTCAAGGGCCCCAGCGCCCACTGTGATTTCCCATAGACACTGGTCGGTGCCGCTGTCATAGCTGAACATAAATCAGAGCAGACAGGGTCAGCATTGAGAGCCAAGTCGCTCTAGGATCAAAGGTTAAATTTATCTTTAAAAATAGCAGGATTAGGGGCAGCCTACTTTCCAATCCCCCTTCTGTCTCTCTTAGACAGAAGCTGTCTTTCTCTAAATAAATTTTTCCTACACTTAAAAATATATATATAACAGAATTAGGGCTGAGGATGTATCTCAGCAGCACCATACTGGCCTGGCAAGCACAAGGTCCTGAGTTCAATTCCCGGTACCAGAAAACAAAAAATGTGGAGTATACATGTGATTACTACTATTTTTTAAATTTATGCACAGTTCAAAGGACTATTAAAAATACTTAAAAATTCTTATAATACTAAGCAGAGATTGTTTTAATGGGGTATGATATGGGCCATTTGGTTTTCCCCTATTTCTCTATTTAGCTTAGATTTTATTTAATGAGTGTATATTGTTTTTATATATTTTACTTATTTTTATTATTGAAAAAAGTATTTGTATGGGCCAGGTGTGGTGGCCCATGCCTGTCATCCCAGCACTTAGGAGGCTGAGGCAAGAGGATTGCTGTGAGTTCAAGACCATCCTGGGCTACATAATGAGTTCCAGGTCAGTCTGAACTGCATAGTGAGACCCTGTCTTTTAAAAAAAGTATTTGTATTAAAAATTATGTGTCTCCCTTCCAAGACAAAAATATATATGCCTATACCTTCATATATATGTCTAGATCTATATATTTACATCTTTACATGTAGATGTAGACCCAAATCTAGCTCTAAGTTTGGAGATCTAAATTTATATTTAGAGATATAAATGTACAGCTGATCCGAATCTAGAATATAACTATGAATGAGAGATACAGAGATACATCTGCAAAAAACCTACCATTGCTTTAAAAGAAAGTCTTTTCCCCAGAATCAAACCCTAGCAAATAAACCATGTAATTCCAGTTTAAAACAAACACAGGAGCACCTTCCTATGGCTGTGTCCCTTTTTCATTCCCGGTGTCAATTCAGGGTGTAACAGACATGCATGAGTGAAGTTAGTTTGAGTGGCTGGGCAGAGTGCAGTGGAGCTGGGCCTGAAGTGGTGAGGTCCCCAGTTTGTCATTCTTTGTGTTTTGTTTTGTTCTGTTTTTTGAGACTGGGTCTCACTATGTAATTCAGCCTGGATTTGAACACCAATCCTCCTGCCTCAGCCTCCTGAATGCTGGAATTACAAGCAAGCACCACCACACTAGGCTTCCAATTTGTCACTCTTAAGTCATGTGACATCACAGCAGAGCACAACCCAGAGCCCCCAGGATGGATGAGAGAAGTTCAGATGAGACTTAGCCTCTTGGACCACCTCCTCCTTGCCTGGCCTGTCTTTGCCTGTTGTGCACATCACACACACACACACACACACACACACACACACACACATATGCTGCTGTCAGAATTTTAACGTCCCATTAGCCAGATAAGATTTTCTTTTCTGCTCTTCTCAGAGCTGGTGTGTCTCTTTTTCTCATCTTTTGTCTTTCCTGTCCTGGTCCATGGCCAGATCAGCCCTGCCCCCAGATTCATCCCTCGGCTCCAGCACAGCCTGCTGAAGACCCCTCCAGACCTCTGTGGCTTGTGCCCCTCCGTGTGCCTGTGGTCTGACCACATTCGGCAAGGATGCAGCCAGGGCCAAACAGGGACGAGTCCATCCCTGTGAGTCCTGGAAAGTGCCTGGCTATGAACCAGGGCAAACAGTGGGGAGACGGGTAAAGGGGTTCATCTAAGAAGGGAATCAGCTTACAAGTGGGTAGAAACCACCATGGAGAACTGAAGAAAGGCTCCCAAAAGGAACAAAGTTTTCCATCAAACCCCACCTCCTAGACGGAAGAGCTCTCTGGGACCTGAATTCCCTGAAAAAAGACCAACTCACTCTTGCTCTACAGCCACACCCTTTGCCTAAGCACTAAGGAATTTAACCCCTGGGTCTGGAAACACAGGGTGCCACCTGGTATGTCTGAGACCCAGGTCCCCTGGCAGGCACAGGCTACGCTGCAGGGCCACCAGACACAGCCACCCTCCCTCTAGATCTAGGTGTCACTGGAACAGCAGAGGCCTTCTCCTCTGTCCTCTCTGGCACGCCCTCCTCAGCCCTGTGCTTCCTGTCACCCCATCACAGCCCTCTCCTGGACTGGGGCTGCAGGGCGACCAAGGCAGGGAGAATGGGGTCAGACCTCAGGATGCCTCTGTGGCCCCGACTCCTGGACTGGACACTGCCCTGGCAAGAACACCCAAAGCTGGGGTCCCCATTACCCTTTGGGTAGGAACCCTGGAAGCATGGCAGCAGTGGCTAGGCAAGTCTCTGCAGAAATGTTGAGAAATGCACGGAGGAGGACTGGACTTCCACCCGAAGGTCCCCCAGGACCAAAACCAGACCCAAGCTCAAAACCAGACTCAGGCTCCTCCGCACTTCCCCAAGTTACCAGCAGGTGGCAGCACCAACAGGGCTATCAAAACCAAAACTACAGAAACTCAGATTTTTTTTTTCCGTTTTGTTTTGTTTATGCAAATAGTTAATTCCCTGCAGCATTCCTCCGGGAATGGTCTCCCCTCCACCACCACAGTCATCCCTCCCCTTCCCTGCTCTCTCCCTCAACACTCTGTGCATGAAGACGCTGTCAAGAGAGCTGAGTCCCCAAGGACAAGCAGGCCTGGGAAATGTGAGTAAGGCTGGGGGCTGAGGCAGGAGCTGGGGCCGGCACAAGAGGCCCAGGGCCAGGGATGCCCCCTCCCCACCTACCCCGTCTGTGCCAGCACACACCGCGTGCTCACTCCCAACATGTTCACCGTGCTGAGGACCCGGGAGGCCATGGCAGACACAGCCAGCACTGCCTTCCCTTCCTTCCTCTGGTCCCAACACAGGGAGACATGAAGGGCGAGGACCCCCACCCTGCTCAGCAGGAGGAACCCGGGTTTCCCAGACCCCATGGAGGGCTTCTCCCAGAGGGTTCTGCTGCCCCTTTGGGCCCTAGTCCGGGGCCCTGGTCAGGTGCCCTGGTCCCATGCCAGTCCCATTCCAGGAAGGGGAGGACAGGGAGGGGTTGGGAAGGTATCTCTGGGCTGGACCCTGCCTGGGAGGGACTTGAGGCAGCCACTGCAGAGGCCACCCCAGCCCTGAGCAGCTCCATGGGTCTCCTCAGGGCACAGAGAGGGTCCAGGCTCCTCAAAGACTCCTCTTTCTCTTGGGCAGGTGGCTCTCTTTCCTCCTGGTGTCAGCCCTGCTCTGCGGGGTGGGAGGCTCCATCCCCATCCCTCAGAAGCTCTTTGGGGAGGTGACTTCCCCTCTGTACCCCAAACCTTACCCCAACAACTATGAGACAACCACTATCATCACGGTGCCCCCCGGACACAGAGTGAAGCTCGTCTTCTGGCAGTTTGACGTGGAGCCTTCCGAAGGCTGTTTCTATGACTACGTCAAGGTAGGAGGGGCAGGTTGGGGGTCAAAGGCCCAGGCCTCGGGTCACCCTGACACTGCCCAGCCCTGTCTGAGAGCCATGCGATGCCATGGAAGGGGTGCCCATGAGTTTTAGGGCACCTAGCGGTCACCATGGGGAGAAACCCAGAGGAAGGGAGGCCCAGGAGTGTCACCCAGCTGCCTTGGGGTGTATCTCTTAGAAACATCTGCGCCTCAGTTTCTCTGTTTCTGTGGAGAATATGGCCGTAGCTGCCACTTCAACAGGAAAAGAAAATGAGACATGAGATTAGGACCAGGCAAAGCTTGTGCACCTCCATCGCAGGCAACAGCCTGGAGGGTGAGGGAATAACACAGAGCCCTCAGAGCTTCCCCACAGGGGACACAACATGGGAGGAAGGAGGGGATGTGGGGGCCTGGATGGCAAGGAATGGAGGAATCCATGAGGAGATTCCGGGCAGCTAGGCCTTGTTCTCAGCTGTGTGTGCAGAGGCACGGCTGGATGGAGAGGTTGAATAAGGCCCATGGTGCAGAGTAAATGAAGACAGAAATGAAGACCCGTCAGGCTCAGGGCTGAAGGGATAATAGAGGCTGGACAGAGACCTCCCGGATGCCAGGGGAAGAAGGGCCCAGAGGGGTGGGCGAGGAGATCAGAGGCCTGTGGGGAGGTGGGGCATACAGTGGGGGGTGACATGCCGGCCACAGGCGACCTCAGGCGGAAGCCGCAGCTGCAGGTGACATCACAGGTGTCCGCGGCAGCCAGGACCAGTAGCAGTGAGCAGCGGGTGCCACTGTGGGGATGGGTTGCTCTGGGGTGCACAGGGGATCGACTCCTCAGCAGGACTTCTTCCTCCCCCTGTGTCTCCCACCAGATCTCCGCCGACAAGAAAAACCTTGGAAGGTTCTGTGGACAGCTGGGGTCCCCCCTGGGGAACCCCCCAGGGGAGAAGGAGTTCGTGTCCCAAGGGAACAAGATGCTGCTGACCTTCCACACAGACTTCTCCAATGAGGAGAACGGGACTGTCATGTTCTACAGGGGCTTCCGGGCCTACTACCAGGCCGTGGGTAGGTGCTCCCCAGGCTCAGCGGGAAAGGGGGGCCTGAATCAGAAGGAGCCCAGAGCCGGCTCTCCTTGTTTCTCTCCTCGAGAGAAGGGGCCTGTCCACTGGCCTCGGCCCCTGGAGTCATTAGAGAGGCCTGGATGTTCTGCTAGGCCTCTGGCAAGCGGCCTCTCTGAGACCAGAGCTCCTGCAGGAATTTCCTGGCAGGGCCCCAGCCCTTCCTTCTGAATCTCCAGACCTCGACGAATGTGCCTCCCAGCGCAACTCCGTGGAAGAAGACTCCCAGCCCCGCTGCCAGCACCTCTGTCACAACTACGTGGGCGGCTACTTCTGTTCCTGCCGTGCAGGCTACGAGCTGCAGCAGGACAGGCATTCCTGCCAGGGTGGGTCCGTGGGGCACGGTGGGGCGGCGGGCACTGCGTGGGCATTGCTGGGCCCCAGCGAGCCCTGAGCCTCCACTCTCACAGCTGAGTGTAGCAGCGAGCTGTACACGGAGCCATCGGGCTTCGTGGCCAGCCTGGAGTACCCCCAGCCGTACCCGCCGGACCTGCGCTGCAACTACAGCATCCGGGTAGAGCGCGGCCTCACCCTCCACCTCAAGTTCCTGGAGCCTTTTGAAATCGATGACCACCAGCAAGTGCGCTGCCCCTATGACCAGCTCCAGGTACAGCCCTGACCCGAGGACATCTCCCTCTCCTTCCCGTGCCCACGCAGCCAACTCAGACAGGGGTGACCAGCTTCGCACACATTCCCGCGCTACCAGGAGTCCTGGGGTCCTGTCCACCTTCAGCTGCAAACACACACCAGCAGGTGTCCCCGGGGGTGAAAATGCCCCGCTCTGCGTCACTGTCCCTCCACTCCCATCAGATCTACGCCAACGGGAAGAACCTGGGCGAGTTCTGTGGGACGAACAGGCCTCCCGACCTGGACACCAGCAGCAACGCCGTGGATCTGCTGTTCTTCTCTGATGAGTCCGGGGACAGCCGGGGCTGGAAGCTGCACTACACCACAGAGAGTAAGGCTGGGCCTGCAGGGCGACTCCGCAGCACAGCTCATGAGCCCGCACTGGGCCTGGGTCCCGGCCCTAGCGCCAAGATCAATAAATAAAAATAAAACATGGCGATAAGGCTCCCAGGCAGGCCTCCCTTGAGGGGAGAGGGACTGCCGTGCTCTGAAATGAGCAAGTTCCTCCCCACAGTCATCAAGTGCCTGCAGCCCAAGGCCCTGGACGAGTTCACCATCATCCAGAACCCGCAGCCGCAGTACCAGTTCCGGGACTATTTCATTGTGACCTGCAAAGAAGGCTACCAGCTGGTGGAGGTGAGGACAGGGGTCCACAGGGGTCCATAGCAGCTCTAGGCTCACACACACCAGAGTCACTGAGGGCTGAGCATGTCAACTGGCTCCCCAGCTAGAGTGCACAAGCAGTGTTTTAGAAGCACTCATTCTGGGTCCCCTCCGGATGGCGCTCTCCCATCTGTGCTGTGGACTATTTAAACTCTCTCAGGTGACCCTGATATGCAGCCAGGTTCGAGGCTCTGACCTAGTCCATAACTCATTGTGGAGCGGGGACAAGAGGAGCACAGCACAGACGCGGTGACTCCCTCAGTGCCGTGAGGTGGTTTTGTACAGCAGAGCTGGGCCCAGCCTCCTGCTTCTTGCTCCAGGGTCCACAGTGGACCCACTGCCTTGTCAGCTTCACAGACCCGGGACAAAATATGGTTTTATCTATGGACCAAGGTCACAAAAGCTGGTAAACAAAACAGTGTTGCTTTTTCCTTTCTTTTTTTTTTTTTTTTTTTTT